GCAACACGGGCACACCAGGCAACACGAGCACACCAAGCAACACGGGCACACCAGGCAACACGAGCACACCAAGCAACACGGGCACACCAGGCAACACGGGCACACCAAGCAACACGGACACACCAGGCAACACGAGCACACCAAGCAACACGGGCACACCAAGCAACACGGGCACACCAGGTAACACGAGCACACCAAGCAACACGTGCACACCAGGCAACACGAGCACACCAAGCAACACGGGCACACCAGGCAACACGGGCACACCAGGCACCACAGATATGTCAAGCATCACCACCACATCAACCACCACCGGCAAATCGAGCACCAGCACAACCACCACCACCGGAAAATCAAGCACCACCACAAAAACCACTGCTTCTGTTGCAGCATCTCTTTTACCAATGGGACTGCCTGGACTTCTGTTCTACACTACTATGGTTCTCAAAATCTTTCAGCTGATCTGATTATCATATCTCACTTAGTTTGTAACTAAAACCTACAGGGACAGGGCCTTTCACAAGTTGCTAGCACTTTAATGTCAGACTGTCAGATTAATGATAATGTTCTGATAAATACCTGATTGCTTTACAAATCTAGAAAATATGAAAATATGAAGACTTCAAATGAAGAATAAAGATGAAAAACCTTTGTTGACTTTGCCAACATTGCTAAACCACATTACACATGCATGACAGTTAAGGATGAGTGTTTGCACATATTTATCAAAAAGTGTATGTATTTGTCATTTATGTTAAATATGACTTACTACTAGGCATGGGCCGGTATGAGATTTTGATGGTATGATAACCTTAAGCAAAAATATTATGGTTTCACGGTATCACGGTATTGTTGTTACAGCTCTAAAATGTGTTATTTTTAAATGACTGGGCAAAAAAAAAAAAAAAGTTCCGCTGAACACAATATATTTTGTTTTTGAGCAACACAGAATATTAGGAACAGTAGAATTTATTTTTTCTTTGATTTGTTTCCTAAAAAGAAGAAAAATAAAGACTGACATCTTTATTTAACCTAAATCTGTAATTACAGTTATTTAATTTTAGTTATACAATTCATATGTGCATCATGAACAGTGAGTGATCTGCCTGCTACAGTATTTTTCTCTGTGCGTCCATCTTCAACGTCTCTGGTCTGTGTTAACGGACGTTTACAGACTTCATATTTTCACATAAATTACATTTTGGAAAACGATTGCATTGTAACGCAGTTTGTGCAAGTCCAGAACAGAGACGAGTTGCTTGAAATAAGACAAAAAACGGCCGGTTGCCGATCTCGTGAGTTCCAGGGGCAGCTCCTTAAGTTCGGCCGTCCTACACACATGTGACTGACCGCTCGCTCGCACCAACGGAGGAGGAGGGTCGTGTTACTCTCTACACTGCACTCAACCTGAGGGATTCCTACACTTTCAGTCTTTGAGGAGACATGAAAAACAGCGTATACCGCAGGAACGGTATAACGTAAAATATTAGCGGTTTTGAAACCGTGACATTTTCCAAATCACGGTATACCTTGAAACCGGTAATTGGCCCATGCCTACCTACTACTGTACAAACTTGCACATCAATAAAACAATATTCTGCAGTTATTCTGTGCATTTATGCAAATATTTCCTAAAAACTGCCCTGAGTTATACTGATATATCATGATTCAAAACTAAAGCTCCTACCTGCGAGCAATGTAATAAAAGACAGGATTGCCATTCTTTGACGTGCCAGCTTGGTAAAAGATGTTGAGCGTCTTTAAAGCTTTAAACTCCTCCTTCTCATGGACTTGATGCCTTAAAAAAAAAAAAAAAAGCAGAATATAAATTAGGTCTGCTGATTTAATTAAAAAATATATATATATATTTTACTATTACTATTTCTTAGTTAAATCTGAAGAGAATATAAAAAAGCAAGAACAGTGACCTTGTCATAAATTCCTCAAACTTTGAGCTGGTGAGGTTGAGGCTGGACCAGTGTGTGTCAGCTACTGGCTTATGTTCAGGGGGGCCCAGGTAGGCCAGGAGGGTGGCCATCTTGTCAAATGGTCTGCGGCCCACTGCCTTGTGGTCCCTATGGTAAAAGTTTAATTAAAATATGTGTTAAAATCATGTCTATATATTCTGAAAACACTAGTAGAGACCATTGGTGTCAATAGTCAATTTAGTCTCACAATGCTTTTGAAACACTACCCTGACCTCCTTTGCTACATTTACCTGTTGCTGGACAAGTACTGGCCAATTCTTTCTTGGTTGTTCCATAACAGACGATGCAGGGCGAGCACATTGCAGTCACTGATGAAAGATAGACTGTGATTCACAGTGTCACTTGGTGGAGAATCAGATGCAATATCAAAGAAGAACCTGCCAAAATAAAAAATAAGGCATTTTGAAGCCCACGGAGGAGCTGATGGGTTTAAAACATTGTGTTTCAAGACCCAATAAAATCACAACTGTCTTGTGTCAACTGTCTTGGGTTGTAGTCCATATCTTCAAGTTTTAAGGACACAAATATACTTGCATACCCCTAAAACATGGGCGAAGTTACACATATACTCATTTAAAACTTCAGGGTTAAATAATACTGTAAATAAAATATTTAGCACAAATTTTATTCAATCAAGTGCTCTCTGAAAATTCACTTACAACACACGCCTCTAACTGGCAACTGAAAGTAGCATTATAATGTTTCAATAATGTGACAATTTGAAGCAAGTGTCAAGTATATCGTTCAAAAGGTCTTTTTCTTGCCTTCAGCTGATCCATCAAAAATCTCCACTTGAGAAACAAAAGATCTAATATGTGAGAATCAAACAAATACAAACATACCTTCTGGCTGCATCAAAGTTGCTTTTGACAAAATCATTAAAGGGCCGCATATGCTCTTCTTTTGTGAACAGTACATGATTAGCAATGCTCTGGAGTATCTGAAAAGAGAAGAAACATTGTAGAAATTCTAATTTTGCTATATATAATTTTGCAGTGGGGCCCAGTGTTGTGGTATAAATAAACATTTAATCTTGCCAGTTAGACAAAACACTTCACCACAGATGATGGAAATGGAAGTTATGTATAATATGTATGAACATGACATTACACACCTTAGACATGAGTTTGAGGCCACGCTCGATGCGAGGTGGAGGTTTCTTGTCTAGGATGCCTGCCTCATACGGTGATACAATAGCTGGGTTAATAAAGCGCAAGAACATGGCACTTCCTACTGCACCGATACTGTTCTGTGGAAACCGCTGGCTGACCACCTGCATAAACGGATGAGGGAATTGAGAGGAAAGACAGTTAAGTGCTAAAAGAATGCATTATAGATAAACCATCTAATTACTGCCAGTATATTATTGCCATCATGATGATTTTAATTTGAAAACAACAAAACACAGAATACTAATATAAATTTTTATAGGTTTACATCCAGGAATATTATGAAGAAAGAAAATATGTGAAAGTGTGACAGAAAAGGAAAATAATGTGTTTTTTTAACCTTAAACCGCATAAACACATTTCATTACACCAAATACACAAAATATTGTTCTTTTTATCAACATCATATGACCCCTTTAACTGATAAATGTGTTTTGTATGGAAGCCCGTTTCCGCCACTGAATAAAAAATAAAAAAAGGTTATTGCGACTTTTTATCTCACCATTCTGACTTTTTTTCACAGAATTGCGTGATATAAACTCACAATTGCGAGTTATAAAGTCAGAATTGCGAGATATAAAGTCAGAATTGTGAGTTTATATCTCGCAGTTCTCACTTTATTTCTCAAAATTGTGACTTAATGTCTTGCAATTGCGAGTTTACATCACGCAATTCTGACTTTATTTCTCAGAATAGGGAGTTTATATCTCACAATTATGACTTTTTAACTCTGAAATTGCGAGTTTGTATCACGCAATTTTAAACCGCATAAACACATTTCATTACACCAAATACACAAAATATTGTTCTTTTTATCAACATCGGAACATTTTATCAATGGCGGAAACGGGCTTCCATAGTTTTGTGTCAGGTAAAACAGGCTCAATTAGAAAGAAAACAGGGCTATGATACATTAAAACCTATGCAGTGTTTGCACAGAACAAACTAATGATGACGGCAGACTTGTATGATAGCAAAGATGCAAATTAATGCTGCCTAACGATTATCAACCATTAAAATACAACAAATATACATACCACACTTAAGCACAAAACAGTCTGTTATTAGCCACAATAAATGTTTGCAGAGCAATGTGTGGCAGTGCATACACACCCTAAAAATATTATTCATGGAAATTTGCGGTTACAATTTCCCCACACCTATAATAACTGATCATTTGTGTCCTAAATTCTTTGTAGGGGACTAAACGGTTTCCGTCTCAAGTGGCTAAGTCAATCTAATTGGACTGAGACTTAAAATAGACTTAAATGAGAAGTCTCAGCTTATGCAAACATTTTTTAAGCCTACCGCTGATGAGAGCCAAAGATCCACTTTTGCATAAACTTGCATTAAAATAAAAAAAATATTAATCTTGGTAATTAACTCATTCTTTGTGTATCATCTGTTTACATGCACCAATTTTACATGTAACAATTTCAAAATCTCATGTAAACACATTTACTTTTGTTTTTATATATTTTGATAGTTACCAGTGTTTTAATATGTAAACGCATATTAATCAATCAAAAAGATGATAAAAATGCACCATGCTTATAACATCATGATCATGTTGCAATGGTCCTAGCAAATGGCAAGAGAAATGAAATGAGAAAAGAAAAAAAAAGACAGAAAATTAAGAGTGGGAATAATCAGACATTTTACACCATTACATACATTATCAAGCATGCATATGCACCAATGGTTTCTGAAACTGAAAAAATGCACAACCATTGTTTTGAAGACGACCCATAGAGCACATGACAAGCCAGAGAAGTGCCAACATATCATCATATTTACAGCATGCAAATCACTTCATTAAAAGTTTTCCAAGAAAGACAAGACTCTTCAAGGAGCCAAAATACAGATTCATAACGTTTTCTAATTTAAACTTAGAAGTGTTTATACATTCTCAGAAGGTAGACCAAGTCAGTACCAGGCTCAATGTCTGCACATTTGAGGATACACTGTCTTCATGTTATAACAGACCTTAAACTCACGCAAAGAAACAGAAAAGCTGAACTGACCCAAACTGCCCGCTACCCCTGACTCAGTACACAAGATGAAATTCAAAGAAAAAGAAGGGTGATCCAAAGCAGTACAATTACTTTGTTTGTTTAGATATTCATTTCCCAAACTGTTGTGTTTAAAATGGAGGCGTCTTCATAAGAAAACTGTACATATTGCAAACATCAGTTTACACAGGTGTTTCTGAACATGTTCTGGCGAAAACCAAAATCCAAAAACATGAAAAAACTTTAAATGAACAAATTCATAATTTAAAAAAAAATCAATAAAACAAACCAAAAAACAGGTTGCACTTATGGTATGAGTAAACCCAAACTAATAATAAATGGTATCTAAAGGAAAAATAAAATGCTAAAACACTTACAGATTTTTTGTTTTCCTTTTTTTCTTTAACAGTGGCTTTATTCAGAAGGGAGTGGCAAGTAGCCTACAGGGCAGAGATGAGCACAGAGAGGTCACAGCAGCTACACAACTGCACTCAGCACAGCCACAGTGCATACAAACGCAATGAAGTATGAGACAACACAACCACTGCCTTTCTAAGAGCTGATCTACGAACAATTTCATTCATGTTCATTTCAGTGATTAAGAAACACCGGCTGAAGCTCTCCAAGCAGAAAGTAAAGCAAAAGCAGTAAAGATGCTACAGTGGAGGAGAGAGACATCTCTAGGCACAAGCAAACAAAGTGTGAATAATATGTTAAGAGTGTAAAGATAAGTTATCGCTAGCTGCAGGAAATTAAAGACCAGAATATGTGTGTCGCATGTATGAGAACACAAGTGGGCCATGCAGAAGAGAGCAGGACTTGTGTAGCAGGACTGATGGTTGCAGCTGATTTGATAGGATGAGTTACCAAATTTTTTTCAGTCTGTTTCCCCAGAAAGAAAAGACTTCGTCTTAAATGTATGTATCTACTAAATGGAAACTTTTAAGAGTCCACTAGCATAGCAATGACCTCAAAGCTAACTATGTGCCACAAAACTATAATTTCAATTTTTATGAGACTTAACAAGCCAAACATCACAAGCCGATCATCTTGATTACAAACAAGACAAGAAAGGCCATGAAAGGAAACGACAAGAAAGAAAACAAAACTACATGTAATTAAGAAAGAGGAAAAGAAAGATGTTTTTTAATTCGAATAATTATTTTTGATGCTTAAAAAACAAATGTATGCATCACCGTCCACAAGATGGTGCCCTTGACAGAGTGCAGTCACATCAGAGATGTGAGAAAAACAGTTTGTACCTTCAAATGAAAACTTTGTACTTTTGTTTCAGTAAAAAGACAACTCCATAAGCACCCCCTTCTATTTCTTTCTATGCAAGTAATAATGAAAAATAGCTAAACAAATGGTTTTTGTACGCATAAATGGAAGTGATTTCAACTGCGATTTCAACCCCATGTGTGCTATAAATATAGATTATTGCAGCTGGAAGAATTGTGATTCATACCTGCTTGTGACATATAACAATACAGCTTCAAGCACTATCAAAATGTTTCCTTACCAAACTGAATCTGTAATGTCTGTTGTTGCATGTAAAGCAGCAAATTATTTAGCAGATCTTCTTTGCCATTTGTAATAATTTTCCGATACATTCAACTTTAATGGGGATACCGGAAGTATGAAGGATTGTATCAGCCTGATATGAAATTCATCTTATCATCACTCCTTATTTAAATCCCTTAAAAAAATAATTTAATTCTAGTCAGTATTAAGAACAAGTTGTAGTATGATTTAACTGAAAATGTTTGCACTTTGAATGCCACAATCCCATTTTGCCATTCAAACACAAGAAATTCTATGACAACAGTAGCATTTTGAACATTATAATAGCAACATAAAAATAACACATAATAACCCTATTGGAAACCTGTTATGGGATGTAGATTACCGTTTAAACATGTGGGGTCAGTAAGAACTTTGTTTTTATTTAACAGGGATGCATAAAATTGATCAAAAGCAATAAAGACTTTCACACTGTTATAAAAGATTTCTATTTCAAATAAACGCTGTTCAATCCTGAAAAAAATGTTTGATGGTTTCTACAAAAATATTAAGCAGGACAACACAGATATTAAGAGCACCAAATCAACATGCTTAAATGATTTCTGAAGGATCATGTGACAGTGAAAACTGGAGTATTTCTGAAAATACAGCTTTGCCATCACAGGAACAAATTACATTTTTAAATATATTAAAATAGTTATATTAAACTGTAAAAAATATATTTCACAATATTATTGTTGTTACTGTATTTTTGGTCAACGAGGCTTCTTTCATCAAAACATCAAAAAAAAAAAATGATGCCAACCCCAGACTTTTGAACATATCTCAAGTGTGTATCTGAAGGAAATGGGGGCATTTAAACCGTCTGATATATTCGTACACAGACAGACAGAGGAGAGCAGTGGCGTGAGAGAGGATAAGAGCAGGTTCTCTTGTTAGAAGTGACTGGAAGACTGATCAGTGGATGTCCAAGAAAGACAGCCATAATGCAGTCATTCAGAGGATGCAGTAACAGTGGTTAAAAAAAACAAAAAACAGACTAGCATTAGGCAGTGAGCGTACCTGATACAGACAGTGGCACACACTGCGCAGCTGTGGAGGGAACTCGTTTGAAGAGTTGATAATGGCCAGGAAGAAGCGGTCTGTTATCTGCAGGAGGTTCTTCTGGTTCTCCTCCAGGTTCTCCGCTGGTTCGAGCCTAAAGAGGAGATGAGAAGTTAAACGTTTCAGCAGAAAGACAATGATAAAAAAAACATCTGTACTTTGAAGAGTGTTTAAATGTACATCATGAAGAACTCCTTTAAAGGTGACCTATTATATCAATATAAGTCTCAGGTGTCCCCAGAATGTGTCTGTGAAGTTTCAGCTCAAAATATCCCACAGATCATTTATTAAATAATTTTAAAAATGCCTAATTTGAGTGGAAGCAGAAACACGCTGTTTTCATGCACGTACCTCAGATATTCTGCCAAAAAACATCTGTTTGGTTTTGATTATGTCTATCGCACTGAAATCATGCGTTTTAAACCATATTAGTTTAAACTTCTGATATATGGCTTTTTTTGAGCGCACACATCCGAAGTACACACACAGAAAGCGGCTGCCACATGGCATGTGAGTACTAAACTCAGTTCTCTTTCATCTATTATTGCGCTTAAACTGTCAAATACAAACAAGTTTACAAAAACAGTCGCGTATGTCTGTGAAGTTAAATAGTTGGGAAAGAAATTGCATGTTTATATTAGATCTGTGTTGCAGCAGTGTAATATAAAGTAAATAAATCAATAAATCCACTGCTCTCTTGTCTCCTCTGAGGCTGGGACTCTAAATAGTGTTCTGTGCTGTGCTGAAGTAAAAGCTAGACCTGACTAAACAATTGTATCATTAACAATACGAGTTTTACAGCTAGGTAAACATGCCTGGTAGGGTCTACTTCAAAACTGATTTGCTGCCACTCCGGTGTGGTAATAATTCCTCTCAACAGTGGCTCCAGAAGCTTCTGCAGATATGCAGCACCATAGACCTGCATACACAGAAAAGCCCGATTTTAAGTGCACATACACTACTGTTCAAAAGTTTGGGGCTAGCTTCGCCATCACTGAATGAAATTAAATGTGCTATCACTGACACCATTTCACGTTACCTTAAAGCAAAAGGTCATAATCTTGCTGGCAAGGCTATTTCCTCTGAAGAGGGTCTGCATAGAGTCGGCCAGCTCCACCTCTTTTGAGAACATGTTCCATAGCAGCTGATACAGCAGATGGCGAGAGTCGAACAGTGTCACCAACACCCTGGCCAGTTCATCCTGAAAACCATCAGAACATTGAGCACAACAGCTCTCTAATGGCCAACAATACACACCCAATGCATTACTCGCTGTACAAAACAGAGTTAAATAGATAGCGCATTTAAAAGAATGCTGGGAACCAAACAACATTACTCATGGTTCAGTCATACAGTTTTGGAACAAAATGAGGTTGATTAAATGATGACAAAATCTTAATTTTGGGGTAAACTATAACTTTAAGGCCCGTTCATAATGACATATGAAGAAACTGTAACATGAAATAACTATTTTCTGCATCAAAAACAATTCACATGAAATTTTCATTATTGTGTTAGAAATATTTTAATATTTTTGTATTAATTGTTTAGCACCTAAATCTAGCTTCTGTGTAAGAAGAAAAAAAAGATTATGAATATGAAAGTTTGCTTTAAAACCTTTTCATACATGTTTTTTAAATAGATGTTGGCTCTATTTAATTCTTATTTTTTCGAAACTGTAAAGGTTAAACAAAGTTGTTAGTATCTCTCACCCATTGAGAGCAGGGGACCACATTGGCCAGTGCCATGGCTATGGGCAGCTCGCCCTGGTCTCCCATCATGGTGACCAGCTCAACAAGTCTCTCAAAGCGGTCTGCAAGCACAGTCTCTGCGAGCGTGTCAAACTCTGTCCCTTGCTGAAGGATCTTAGTGAGCACCTCCATGAACGTAGCTCGTGTTTGCAGGTCCTTATGGTACCCCAGACCTGTTCAAAAACATCAACAGTCAAAACAACTTAAGTACAATAAGAATCCATGATAATGTCAGCATTTCTCACCAATGGAGTGCATGAGGCCGCTGTCGACGTTAGCATTGAGCAGGTTAGACATGGCCAGCACAGTACAGTGTCGGAGAGATGCCAGTCGTCTAGACATCCCACGTTTCCGCCCTGCCACCTGCTGGCCATCTTCCTCGACCTCGCTGCAGTCATTCAACAGGTTCATGAACAGCGTAAAGTATCTAAAGGAGAGAGAGAAGAGATTATGGACTGAAAATGGACCTTAAAAGACAAAACAAAAGAGTTGGATGAATGCTCCTACTTCAGGAAGAGCTGAGACTTGGCCTCCATGAGCTCAACGCCATCACCCTCCTCAGGCTGCAGGGGAAGACCAGCCAACAGAGACACTACTGCCTCCATACTCGCCTGGTCCAGATCCCTGCATGACACGTTCACAAAAACACAGCATGAGAAAAGAATATAAAGTGAGAGTTTTCAGGTTTGAAGCCACACATATTATAAACGGCAGGAAGCTACAAAGACAATACCGGGTCAGACATTTGATGTCATCATCTGCTGCTTGATTAGAGGTTCCCATCACCCAGTCTGTGAGGTACTCCACCATTTTATTTCTAGGAAAAGCAGCAAAGTCAGTCATCTCACGACCTCATAACTCACAAACTCAATCATCATAACAAATTGACAATTTTGTTTGTTCAGCGTCAGTAAGATATTTTTTAAAGAAAAGTATACTTTTATTCAGCAAGGACCCCTTCAATTAATCAAAAATGACATTAAAGACATTTAAACAGTAGCAAAAAGGTTTCTATTTCACAAATGCTGTTCTTTTGAATATATATATATATATATATATACTGTATATATATATATATATATATAAGGCAGGGCTATTCAACTAGCTTCATTTGAGGGCCGGATTATCGAACTGAAAATTTGAAGGGGGTCAAGGGGATGGGGGCCATCCCGATCTCTTTCTGGAGGGCCTATAAAATTAGAAATTAAATTGAAATGCATATTCAGCAGTAAAATGAACTAATATTACCAATACTAAGATTCATAAAAGGTTAACAGAGTGCTGTCTGTCAATCAATTAACAAAATAATTAATTAATCACACATTTTTCTGTAATTAATCATGATTAATCGCATATTTATATTGTCATAATTTCACATTGAACCTCCAAATTAATGTAGAAACAACAAAGATGATATATTTTAAATACGTGTTAAATGGCATCTTTTTACTAAGTAGCCTATTATTAATGAAGTATTGATACCAATACTGCTACTGGTGTCTCTATTAAACTAAATTAAATTAAATTCCCTCACTTTTACCTATTAATTATAGCCATTCAACATTACAGTATAATTGAAAGTCATTATTTTTTACATTTAATAGGCTCTGAAATATATAACAATTTTAATTTAAGTGATTTTAAAACAACCTTCACATAAATTATCAATTGTATATGCATAAACTATATTGGTTAATTTTTATTCAAGCTACAAAAGTTCAGCAACAATAAGCAACTAGAGCAGTTTTTTTTTTTTTTTTTGTTCTTTGATTTACGTCAATGACAGACTTCAGCAAGTTTCACTTTAAAAGCAGCGCTGTCTCTTTAAGACTTTGTAACCCAGTTAAGACTACGTTTACGAGGTAACTCGCCAAAACCACGCATTTTGACATAATAGTGTGTATTTTTGGCAGTTTAAGCGCTACTGGCAGTCTGTCTGAAGCATCTCAGCGTATGTGTACAGCTGAACACGCAGCCTTTCAAACTATACGTTACTTCATTTGATCATTTTCGTCCAGTGTTTGCTCTATTTTTTTTGTCAGAAGTTATGACTGATAACACTGTCTTTATACTCGACTAAACTAGAGTTGTGGATATCTCATAACTCCCTCATAAACGCTTGTCAACGCTGCAGTCTATTGCTTTTGCGGTCTCCATAGATTGTTGTTGTTGTCTCTTTCTTTTCTTTTTCCGTATGGTCCAAGCCAGTGTTGCCACCTTGTGGACAACAATTCAAGGCATATATGCGACCTGCACGTACTTCTCCCTCGGGCCGGATGAAGATGATTGGCGGGCCGGATTTGCCCCCGGGCCGCCAGTTGAATAGCCCTGATTAGGGCTGGGCAAAAAATCGAATGCGATTTTCATGCGAATCTCGTCAGTAAAGCCGCTTCTGGTGATTAGTAGTAAATCTCCAGCACGTGCTTTCAGATGGAGCAGCATTTACTACACAGAGCCGTAGATCACTGACAAGCTACACAAGATCACGTTCAAAATCGCAGGTGATTCATTGCCGATTTTGAACGCGATTTTGTGTAGCTTGTCAGCAGTGTTGGAATAGTTACTCAAAGAATGTAATATATAACTCATTACTAGTTACTCATTTCAAAAGTAATATTGTTACTTTACTTATTACTTTCAGGCAACAGTAATTAGTTACACTACTAGTTACATTACTTTTTCTTCATGCCCCACAGAAGTTGTAACTGTGTATCTTCCACATAAAATTCTAGTGATTGATAGTGACATTCAAGTAGAAGTGTTGTATTAATCTCATTAATTGTCATAGTGACATTCAAGTAGAAGTGTTGTATTAATCTCATTAATTGTCATGTGTAGCTTGAAGCTAATTGTCATTTCTCCGTTACCCATATACGATTATATTTCATTAAGTTTGTAAGAAACTTTAATTTTCAAAAAAGATTTTTAATTATAGTAATATAAAGTGCCACATGCTGATCAGAGGGATGTAATGTCAGAGTAAAGTAAAGCCATAACTTACACAACAGTGCTCAGATCATCTTTTTTCCTGACAAAATCAATATGATGCAATATTTCTATCTGCTGAATGTAAGCTTTTCCATATTCCAAGCTTGCCTTCTAAATAAATCTAGGAATTTTTTGATTGTTGATTTTAAATCAACGGGTTTGAGGCATCAAAAGTAACTAAGTAACTAAGCTGTTTTATGGATGGTAACTGTAATATTATTACTGAAATCTTATTAGTAATTAGTTACACTACTAGTTACTGCAAAAAGTAATATTATTACAGTAACTAAGTTACTAGTTACTGCCCAACACTGCTTGTCAGTGAACTACGGCTCTGTGTAGAAAATGCTGCTCCATCTGAAAGCACGTGCTAGAGATTTACTACTAATCACCAAAAGCGGCTTTACTGACGAGATGCGCATGAAAATCTCATTCGATTTTTTGCACATCCCTAGCCCTGATATAAGGATTATATATATTTATTTATTTATAATATATATATATATATATATATATAT